AAACAGTACAGGTCCCAACACTGAGTACCAAGTAAACACCAAGTGAAAAGATGGTAGCAGTTCTGGGCATACTCCAGCATGTGTGAATCCATGGACTGGGTACATCCTCTGCTGGGGCAGGTTTTCCGTGGATTCTCTCTATCATCAGTGAGAAAGGGAGACATTGTCAGATGCTGGTTCCCCTAGAACTGGGTGTTTCACCTAGAACTGCTGGTTGCCTTTCTTCAGCTACACAGAGCAGTATTTCTGATAGTAGATGTGTGATGAAAGTAAATGTTAGCAAAGCAGTTAAAACCATAAACACTTAGGGACTCTTTGGGGTTCGTGTTGTTTTTTCTTTTTCAGTTCTAAGAATTCAGCGAGCTCTCTGTTGTGCCAGTCCTTTTATCACATTTGGTTTTGCTGAGTCTCTCCTTGAACTCTGGCTTCGGTCTTCTGTGGCACCAAGGCACCATACAAACTTAATGCTCATTGTAAACTGCAGAATGGATGTTGTCAAGTGGGAGAGAGAATAATTGAAAAAATTAAAATATTTCAGACATAGAACTCAATAATTTGATGTTTTGAAACAGATGTTAAATAAATTCTTAGTTTTTTACTAGTTTTGCAACTTCTGTGCTTCCTGATGATGCAGTATTTTAAATGGCAAAATTTTCTAGTGAGCTGTCTGAGCAGTGAGTTGTTTAACTTGGTAATAGATATAAGTATACACTCTTTGTTGCGATTTTTCCTCCCTGTGCTCGTGCCAGTGAATTGTGACAACAATTTTTCTACCCACCTGTTATCAACAAAATATTGAGCTAGCTTCTTTCTACCAAGATAGACATCAAATCCAGAGTTGGTTTTGTGTGTGGTTTTTTTTTTAAATACTCAATTGAGTGAACTGATGTATCAGTGGAAATATAAATTTCCATAGAGGTCATATTTGCCTTCTCTTCTGAGATCAGAATCGCGCAGGATGCTGTGCTGACAGCTCTGACAGTTCTAATTGACTTGCTCTGGTGCTGCAATAACCCTTTTTTTTTTTTTTTTTCCCTCCTCCAAATGCAAACTTAATGTGCAGTGAGCTCACTGTGACTCAGGATCAAAATTTAGTTTCCAGCCATTGGATTTTCTAGTGGCTGGTCTGTCCCAGTAAGCTCTTAGACATACATCTGGCACACAGAAAACTCAGTGATCACTAAGTGGTGTATAGGCTGGGGGACTACGTAAGGGAAAGCTCGCTGTCTTCACGGTGAATACCTGATGTATTCTCTTCTGACAGCTTTCCTTCTAGGCAAGCAAATACCCTGTAGCCTTTCTGATCCTTGTCCAGTTCTCGTGGTGGGTTTTGTTTGAAGGTTGTGTTTTGTTGTGTGTCGTCAGCTGGTGCTCTAGTTGCCACGTGGCTTGTTTCAGTGACTGCTCAGAGAGTGGACAGTAACCACACCGGAATAATACTCCCACAAGGAGCATGGTGTATAAATAGCTGCAACTGCTCAAATAGTGATGCTGCTGCAAATACCTTGATTAATTGCTCTCTTGGCCACCTAAGAGTGACATCATGGTTTTATAGCTGCTTCTTGAATGCCGCATAGCAAGCGTGTTGCTTTTAACTTAATTTTACTGCACAGTTTATTTGGAACACTATAATACACTTTCTGCCTATAATTATGTTGACTAGCATTAATATTACCCATCTTACAGTACTCTGCTTCCTACAGTCTTTGTGGGAGTGGTACAGTAGGTGTTAAAAGCTGTGTAGGGAGTTAACTGGCTGTACAACATGCATGTATGAAACACGGTGAGTGATAAGGTATCACTGCTGTTAAGATCATGTTCTTTTTCTGCCTTACTCCCCTCATGGCTTACTCGCATTCCTGATTTGAACTTGTACGACTGTGGTTTTGCTTGTGGTTTTTTTTTTTTTGGAGAATGGGGAGAGACAATTTTTGTGGTGGTGGGGGGTGGTTTTTCTTCTGTGGTGAATGTCACCCTCCTGTGTCCTGTTAGCAAATGGGAGTTGGCACGTTAGCAAAAGGGAGCCCGCAGGCGCAGGTCTGTGGAGAAAAACGCACGGTGCCGTGGTCTCTGTGCCATTCAGAAGGTTCTGCTTTGAGCAGGTTGCAGCCTGGCCCTCCAGGCTTCGCTCCTTGTCAGCTGAATCCTGATGAGGGATGCTATCCTAGTGTGTGTTCCCACTTGGTTTTGCCTAGAAGTCCAGTTTGTGGGCCCCAGTGCAACTCGGCAGAACACTTTGGTTTTGGACAATATAAATTTTCCTCCTTTTCTTAAGCGTTTGAGAAAGAGCCGTCCTGTTGAAGGGTTTGTCTCCCTGCGGTGTTACTGTGGGGATGAAGGTAATGAGAGTGTTGGATCTCAGTTGTCTATGCTGTACATGTCTCTTGTACATAAAGAATAACGTGCTTGCGGACCTCTGCATTGTAAACTATTGCTTCACTGCTGTGGTTTTGCATTTTTGGGGGCTCTGGTGGTCTTTCAAGGCTCTGCTTAAAAGACACCAGATACTAGAACTGCACTTGCAGACTGGTTCTGGTGTGTCTGGTCCCTTCTTCATTTCTCTCTCCGAATCCCAAACTTCTGGGGCAGCCTCTAGGGTAAGCAGGTGAGGTACTAGAACGGAGGGTAAGCCCTGATCCTTTGGGAAAAGGCTGGAGATGGTTGAAGGATCTCGCTTCTCTACCTGAATATGTAGCTGGATGTAGCTCAAATCAGTAGTACTGTTTACTTCTTCAGAACTCTGGCTTGCTGTTAGAGCTGCTCTGAAGGCTCATCTCAAAGAATTTACTTTTATTTGCTGTGTTTTTCCGTAATTGGCCACAATATGTTGCCCTGCTTTCTCTTTCCATTAGTTTCATTTTTGTTAAATACCCTCTTTGCAATTCAGCTTATAATATGTACATTTGTTTAAGGAGGATGTTTAAGACAATTTGAATGAAATGTTCTTAATATATTTCCTCCTTTTTCACCTCAGACAAAAAAATATGAAATTTCTTTTGCCTGTCTTGAAAACTTAAATAAGGAACATGTTTGTGAAGCATAATTTTTATAAATCTAATAAACATGGGCACCTTTTTTTCTTATTTTAAATACTCTGTAATTGAATAGGTGTTTTCCAGAAATAGTCAAAATGTCTTAGGATACCATTTTTAAAATTATTTTTCCATCTCTTTGCAGATGTATTTGTCAAGCCTTACATCAGAAGATCTCTGTTTTGGTCACTCACCAGTTGCAATATCTCCGTGCTGCAAATCAGATTCTAATTTTAAAAGATGTAAGTAATTTCAGTGTCTATACTTTCATATCTCGCATCCTTTCTAATTATCCTTTTTAATCCAAGAATAGAAAAAATGCCACAGTTATTTTTGTTTGGTTTGTAAATATATTTTCTGTCTACTAATGACAATATGTTTTTAAAGATTTACAATTATTAATGGAATAAGTTGATTTCTCTTAGAATACCTTCCCTGAAAAATCCATTTTTCAATTTTATCATGCATGTATGTAATCTTACCTAATGATTTTTTATCTTGGATATGTAATATACTGTGAGACAATTACTTATCTTGAGACTATGTTAATGCTTTGCTTTATTTTTGTTCCTTACACTTTCGTGTGAATTAAAAACTATGTTCATTTTGCAACCAGTCCCTTTTTAACATGGAAGCTGAGGGATGGTCACAGATCTTGAGAACGAGCAGGCCTTCAGCAAAACTGGTTCCTTCCAAACTTTGTTCCAAACCATATATTCATGGGTAGAGGGGAAATCCAAGAACACCAGCAGGGACTTCTTTGTGTGGTTGTTTTTTCAGGGTTGGGTAGTGAAGTACATGAAATTATGTGAAATGACTTGTAATGCATCACAGAGTTGCAAAAAGGGACACTAGCCATCTTTTTCCTTCCATTCAGAGCTCTCTGAAAGTTACAGTATCTTTCTAGACATCAGTTTGTGATAGAGCTGTAAGTCGTCCGTGTTGCTCCTTGTAGAGCTCTGTGAGGGCCATAAAATGAAGCTGCTGTTACCTCCAGCATAGAGTATATGAAGAGGTTGATGGGTATGTATGTAGCTCAGCAGCTTGTCCTAAAGCTGCATGGCTCTCCTACAGCTTCTCCAAGGAGGTAATTATCACCTGAATTTATCATCCCATTTGTATGCTCCTTGGCCTGGTTAACTGCTGGGAAGGGGCTGGTTAGAGGGTGAAGAGCTTGTGTCTGCTTTTCTAAACAAGGAACTGATAGTTGGAGGTGTCAGCTCAGTTACTGCAGTGGGTTGTGTGCTCAGCAACTGCAAAACCCCAGAGGCAGTGAGGATAGATGGGAAAAATTGTCCTTTACAGAAAGTGTATAATGAAGATAATCAAAGCTTATATTAATTGTAGGGTAAAATGGTGGGGAAAGGTACCTATTCAGAGTTCCTGAGATCTGGCATCGACTTTGCTTCCCTTTTGAAAAAAGATGAGGAGGTAGAACAGCTGTCGGTTCCAGGAACTCCCAACCTGAAGTCTGCCCGGAGCCGAACCTTCTCGGAGTCCTCTGTCTGGTCCCAGGATTCTTCTGTCCACTCACAGAAAGATGGAACAGTGGAACAACCACCAGTGAGTGCTCAAAGGATAGATGTGTCTCAATTCTTGTCTGGCTGGTTTTTAGCTTTAACTTCAGGCCCTTCCCGGCTGCGTTTGAATTTCAGGGATGGTTGGATTGCATTAGCAGGCGAGCGCTTGCCCGTGGTGGATCTGCCTGGTGCTGTGCCACCTGGGCTGCAAAGGGCAGGTGTCCCACGGCTCTTCGCTCTTCTGCTCAAACCCAGCAGAGTGAGTTTGTTCAGATTCAGCACCAGCTCTGCTGGGTGCAGGAAGCATTCCTACAGGTGTCCAAAGCCACCACACTGAGCTTCCTTCATCCTGTCCTCTGACAGCGGTGCTTTTAAGGGCTAATGCCACTCTGTTGCGTGGGTTCTGTGTGTTTGTGCAGTGCTGAACTCAATACTTTCCCTGAAATCCTGAGCTCTGGGAAGTGCATATAGGAGCACAAGCTTTATAGAAAGTCCGCATTTGCATGGCTGGCATTCACATACCCACCTGATCTTGAGCTGGCCCTGCTGGGGTAACCCTGGGACACCACTGCATTGCTCTCCCCAGCCCTTGCATTGGTGAAAACAGGAGGGTTTGTATGGTGCCAGCTGGACTTCCAGATGTCTTGTCACCTCTTGGTCTGCACAGTGCAAAAGCAGCCATAGGGTTACTGTAGCAGAGGTGACCTTCTGCTGGTGCGTTTGCATTCATGTAGAACAGCGCAGGAGCCTGCTAGACAGGTGCTAGCACTGCCTCCATGGAACACACGGAACAAATAATCCCTCTGTGTCCCTGATGATTGTCACCTCTATGCTATGGGTATATGATACTCCTTTTCCTATAATGGAAGGTGGTGAGATTTTAAAAAAAAAGAAAGCTACAGACCTTCATACCTCTTTGGAGGAGTGGTTTCATACCCCAAAGCAGTACGCTTATCTGTTATTACTAATGTCTCAGTAGCGACTTCCTGTTGTACATTGGTCAGTGAGTGGTGAGGAATTGTATCATATTGTATCATATGTTTTATTTGCTATTGTTTTAGTTATTTATTAGTAGTAGTATTTGTATATACTAATTTAGATTTAATTAGTAAATAGTTCTTACCTCAATTTTACGAGCTTTCTTATTTCTTTTTCCTCCGATTCTTCCCCTCCACTGGAGGAGGGGAGGGGGATTTGTGAGAACGGCTTTGTGGTATTTTGCTAGCCGGAGTTAAACCACGACACTGTTAAATCCACAAAGGTATACCATATTTTTTAGCAGCATTAGAGCTGTTGGATGGGGACAAAGGTGGGTGCTGAGTTGGGTGGAGAAGCAAAAAACCAAGGTAGGCTCCTCTTCTTCCATGGGCGAGTAGGTGGGATTTCCTCTTTTCAGGCGTGAGTCAGGTCTGTTGATTCCGCTGCTCTTGTACAACCATGTCTGCTGACAGGAAAATAAGTGTTACATTTCCACTGAACTGGCACTAGTTTTTCTATTGCATACACTGTTTGGTTTTTTTTTTAATTTTTCATTTGAATAGTTCTTTTACCTTTTTATGCCTGTCCCATTTTTTCCTTTTCTGTCTTTCACTGTCCCCCATCCACTGTTTGCTCAATATGAGTCCTCATCTGCATTTTACTTGCTTTCCCTATTAACAGATGCTTTGTTGGTACTTACAAAGAGTTGATTTATTGGTAATTTGTTACTTGGAGGCATATGTTGATTGATTTTGGTGTGTACTTTCAGAAGACTATTTACTTTAAATACCTTTCTGAAAAGGGAAGGTTACATGCACTTGTATTCCAAAAACAGAATCTTTCCCAAGCCACGGCCTTACTTTCCAGAGCTCTTATGACTGAAGGTACTATATTAGAAAATAAAGACCTGATTTAGCAGTTGGTTAGAGTAAACCTTTTTGATAGTAAATTGTAAAAAAGCATCTTAAATTTGTGATCATTGCAAGATAAAATCCTCACAGTGTCATTTTGCAGAGTACTTTTTTCAGTATTAACTGTGCTGAAACTTTTTTCTTAAAACTACAGTTCTGATACTTAAAGTGATTGCACATATAAAAACATTATCTCCTTTTTTTTTTGTTTGCTAATTCTGAACCATGACCTTCAAGTGGCTTAGTCTGAATCTGTAACTGCAGGGTTGATGTGTTTGTGGGTTATTTTTTTTCAGGCTGAAAATGCACTGGCTGCAGTGCCAGAGGAGAGTCGCTCTGAGGGAAAAATAAGCTTTAAGGTTTACAGAAAGTATTTCACTGCAGGAGCAAACTACTTTGTGATCTTTATACTTTTAATATTCAATATTTTGGCACAGGTAAGTTGTTGGGAGCCACGGATAATACTGAATGTGGTTTTGCCCTTTTTTTTTTTTATCTGTAATATAGTGTATGCTTGTTACTGTGATGTTTCATCTAAAATGTTTGGGATCATGGTGTTCTTCAGTGCTCAATCAGATTTTTTTAATATCAGGATGGAATTTTGGTAGAGCATTGAGAGGTCTTGCACAGATCCTTATTTCATCAGTTTTAATACCTAAGTACTTATTTTACTGGCAGCATGGTACAGAAATTGTAAGCCAGTCTAATTTTTGGAGGTAAAGAACAAAATCAAAAGGTGTATGAAGCAGTGTGTAACAAACCTGAACAGTCAGTATGTTTCTAGTTGAGGTGGGTAAAGAGATTTACTGGTTATGGGAAGACAGAGCCTGACAAAAGTGTTAAAGGAAAAGCTTGTTTGCTGCAAAGTGTAGGTTATGAGAAGGGCTAGAAGGAAGGTCACTGTTCAGCAGAACAAGAAAGTGAGGAAGAGGATAGATAAATATTGTGTGTAATGGAGACTGTAACAGGTAGGTTAAAGGATTTTTAAACAAGGAAAATTATTTTGGAAATTACTGAAAGAAATTGTGAGCTCAGGAAGCTGCATGAAGATAGCTTATTGCCTTTTTTCTCTGTTTCGTGCTGAGAAAGCTTGAATTCATTTCATGGGAATGATTGGTCTTGTCTGCAAAAATAGTCTTTATATTTAGGCATGTTACTACATTGGGTCTGTTGGAAAGATAGCTGAGCAAGATCACATCTCTGCTGTAGACTGCCCAGAACTTTAAATTCACGTGAACAGAGGTGTATTTTGAGATAAATAACCCTGTTACAAGTTTGTAGTCACCTCTCAGCACAGAAGGAAGGTGGCAGTAGGAGTTTTTCCCTCCCTCTCTTCTCTCATCCTCCTTCAACCCTCTTTCTGGTAATTATCTCCCGTAAACACAAATTTCTGGACTGGTAACATCAGAAAGTTTGTTAATCAAAAAGCGTTTTGGAATATCTGTAGTAGCAAATTTAGGAAGTGAAAAAATGAGTTCTTTAATGTGCAATTAACATAGGTTAGGAAGAGCCACTGTATTTTGTTTGCTTAAGTGTACTGCTTTGCTTTAGTTTGCTATCATGTAAGGTAATTTAAGGTAACTTCTTTCTTTGTAGAGGGTTCTAATGCACCTTCTAATGTGCTTTGCAAATTGCTGCTGGTCTTGAAAGACTGGATGGCATGCTTTCCTGAATATGTGATGTTTTCCCAGAGAACATGAAAGAATAGCAAGGGAATTTAATCTTCTAGCTTTTTTTTTTTCATATTGTAAGATGATTCTTGTATTTGCCTCTTTTACTCAAGGTGGCCTATGTGCTTCAGGACTGGTGGCTTTCTTACTGGTAAGTTGATGATAATATCTGGTCAGTCATTTCTGCCTTTTCAGTAAAGTGCTGTTTGTCTAATAGAAATCAGTGTTGTGTAAGTGGTGATGAGGGGGAAACCTGTTCTAGGAAATCTCAGAATGTGCTTGATCTTTTTCTGATCTCCACTCCATTCTGTGTGTGGGGGAAAAAAATTCAACACTATGCCTGTGATTGCTTGGTGTGATGCATGGCTACATCAGTATATGGGATATTTTGAACTGAAGTTTTAAACAGGTTTGAGTCTAGAAACAGTTAAATGTGCTCATGAATATTTGCAGAATGTGATTTGATGATCGTTATCTTCTGTATGCATTTCCACAGGGCAAATCATCAAGAAAAGTTGAATCTCACAGCAAATGGAAATAATGGAGCAAATGAGACTGAACATCTAGACCTTAACTTTTATTTGGGAATTTATGCAGGTAATTACACGTGTGTGTGCCTAAAGAACTATTTATTATCTGGCCTATGATAACAAACAGTTTTGAGAGGTGTGAAGCAACGGTCATGTGGGAAAATGTGCTTTCTAGCAGCAACTGCGTAATATCTTAATAGATTAGGAGCCTGAGTCTTGCTTCCTGCCTAAATTAATTGGAATGAATAAAAATTTAAAAATCTAACAGAATAAATAGGTTTAATGAAGACTTTTAATTTGATATGCCTGGACTTTGGAAAGTAAACTAGGAATTGAGTGTTCAAAAAGTCAGTCACTATAAGCTCATGGTCATTGTCTATACTAATAGGTCACTGAGCTAAATCTTCAGTCACTATAGAATCATAGAATCCTTTAGGTTGGAAAGGACCTTTAAGATCAAGTCCAACCATTAACCTAGCATTGCCAAGTCCACCACTAAACTGTGTCCCTAAACACACAATCTACACATCTTCTGAATACCTCCAGCTATGGTGACTCCACCACCTCCCTGGGCAGCCTGTTCCAATGCTTGGCAAGTCTTTCACTGAAGAAATTTTTCCCAATATCCGATCTAAACCTCCCCTGGTGCAACTTGAGGCTATTTCCTCTTGTCCTATTGTTTGTCACTAGGGAGAAGAGATCAACCCCCACCTCTCTCCAACGTCCTTTCAGGTAGTTGTAGTGAGCGATAAGGTCTCTTCTCCAGGATGAACAAGCCCAGTTCCCTCAGCTGCTCCTCACAAGACTTGTGCTCCAGACCCTTCCCCAGCTTCATTGCCCTTCTCTGGACATGGTCCAGTGCCTCAGTGTCCTTCTTGCAGTGAGGGGCCCAAAGCTGAACACAGGATTAGAGGTGCAGCCTCACCAGTGCCCAGTACAGGGGGACAATCCCTGCCCTAGTCCTGCTGGCCACACTGTTCCTGATGCAGGCCAGGATGCCATTGGCCTTCTTGCCCCCATGGGCGCACACTGCTGGCTCATATTCAGCCAACTGTTTACCAACACCTTCAGGTCCTTTTCCATCAGGCAGCTTTCCAGCCACTTGTCCCCAAGCTTGTAGCATTGCAGGGGGATGTTGTGACCCAAGTGCAGGACCCAACACTTGGCCCTGTTGAACCTCACACGGTTGGCCTTAGCCCATTCACCCAGCCTGTCCAGGTCCCTCTGCAGACCCTTCCTGCCCTCAGGCAGATCAACACTCCCACCCATCTTGGTGTCATCTGCAAAGTTACTGAGGGTGCACTTGATCCCCTTGTTCAATACTTTGATAAAGATATTAAACAAAACTGTCCCCAGTACTGAGCCCTGTGACTTGTGACTGGTTGCCAACTGAATTTAACTCCATTCACCACAGCTCTTTGGCCTGGGCCATCCAGCCAGTGTTTTATCCAGCGAAGAGTACTCCCATCCAAGCCATGAGCAGCCAGTTTCTCCAGGAGAATGCTGTGGGAAACGGTGTCAAAGGCTTTACTAAAGTCTAGGTAGACAACATCCATGGCCTTCCCCTTATCCACGAAGCAGGTCACCTTGTCCTAGAAGGAGATTAGATCGGGCTTGCCAAGCATGAGTCCTCCCTTCCATAAAGCTGTGCTGACTGGGCCTGATCACATGGTTGTCCTGTAGCTGCCACTTGATGGCACTCAAGGTGCTCTGCTCCATAACCTTCTCTATCAGCGAGGTCAGGCTGACAGACCTGTAGTTTCCTGTATTATATGGATGGGGAAGAGGTATTAAAAATGGATGTTCATTCTGCACTGTTCTAAAACTTCATATGGCCACATTCCTTCTGAAGTGCCATTGCAAAAGAACCAGGTTTTTAAAAGCATCCTAGATTGGTATGCAAAGTGGATGTTAAAAACCATTTCAGTATATTTCAATAGGTAGCCATACGCTTCTGAATATCCAGAAAAGGACATTGATCCTTGTATTCAGGCATCCAAACATCTTTAAATACCACTGTGAAATACAGTAAAAATTGGCATAGAAAAATCATGTGTAGAGTTATGCTCTCAGACTCTGCTATTTAGCACTTCTGGTATAGTTCTGTACAGCATGATAACTTCTGGATGGAGATGTAAATGATAGATCCCAGGAAAGAGGTGGAATACCAGAGGAAGCAGCATTGAATGTATTCAGAAACATCTCTCATGGGTGAGAGGATAGGTGGAAGATTTTTTTTTTTAATTATTTATTTGGGGAATCCAAATAATCCATGATCTAAGTGCTTGACAGAAAACATTGTGCTTGGCCTGAGAAGCAACAATTTAAAACCCAGATAAACTTGGCTCTTATTTTCTCTGTGTAATGTTATTTCATGAGCTGTTCCGGTGGACTGCACAGTATGATTAAGTGTGGCAAACTTGGCTTTCTCTGACAATATAACCTAAACCACCTTACAGAAAATTTTATCCTTTAAGGCAAATTTTTGTTCTAGATAGCGGAACAGCAAAAGTTACCTTTATATTGAAATGTTCAGATGGCTTAGTGAGATACTTGAAATAGTTGAACAGACAGCGTTGACTTAACTGCACAAAATTGTAAGTGAAGTTGAAAAAGGTACGACATTTCATAGAATCATAGAATCACAGAATGGTTAGGGTTGGAAGGGACCTTAAAGATCATCTAGTTCCAACACCCCTGCCATGGGCAGGGACACCTTCCGCTAGACCATTTCAAATGAAGTACATAATAATCTAACTTACCTTTTTCTATAGCTTCTGAAACGGTATAAAATAATGTAGCATTTTGTGATTCTCAGTGTTTGGAAAAAGAAAAATCACCACGGTAGTTCCTTTCCAGTCCTTGATGTTTCTATGAGACAAAGATTTGGAAGATTAAAATTTCTGTTAATGGGAAACTCCATTGGCTAGAACCGACGTATCAATTCCACACCTTTTCTAGGAAGTGAGCCTGCAGAATCCTTGTCTCTCTCATACTGAGGTAGTAAGCTTGTAAGGGGGAAAGCGAAAAAGCTTAAGTTGTGAGCGTGCTGGTTTCAGTCTTTGTCTTTTCCAAGTCTTTAGCCTTGTCTTTTCTTCTCATTCTCCTCCTCCACTGGAGGATGGGGGTAACTGAGTGAGCGTCTGTGTGCTACTTAGTTGCTGGCTGGAGTTAAACCACGGCAGTCCTAAAGTCTGGATAGAGGACTTGGAAAGTAAGTCTCATTCCTCCCCCTTCTCCCCCAGCCATTAAGTCTTTTCAGGTGATTGGTTTGGTGAGGGTCATGCCAGCAGCTTCCAGTGACTTCCAAGCCTGAGTGAAGTTGTACAGAAGTATGTAGTTCCCAGGACATGCTCTCTCTCCTCCCATCGCGCTCACAGACTGCTTTTAGGCATGGGTTCTGCCACAGCCTCCTGCTTAGTATCTCTTATACTCCCTTTTTGCATGACCCTGCTTTCCTATTTGGGTATGTGCAGTACTCTTGGAAATGTTGTTTCCTTTTACCAGGCCTGGGATACAGCAGTCAGGGCAAGACAAACAAGCTCCCATCCCAGCCACATGCTTTTTTTCTTAAAAACCCTGCACAATATGGGCAGTAAACTGCGAGCAGACAATAACTGAACCTGAACTGTGTCCAGTTTTAACCTGTCCTTAGAATAGGCAGTGGTTTATGTTGATAGTTAGGGTCTAACTTAAGGGTGTCCTCAAGGCCTGAGCATCTGGGCTTGTGGTGACTATGCTTAGTTTCTGGAGCAGATAACCTGGAGCCTGGAAGCACTGACAAATGTAAGGTTAACACCTTCGCTGTTCGCCTTCATCTACTGGGAATTTGGGCAGCCACATTGGGGGTTACACGCAGCAAACAGAGCAGCAGCAATCTCCTCATTCTTTGTTTCCATCCTTTGCCTGTCTTGTAAGTGGAGATGTGCCCAGAAGACAGACAAACAGTTTGCAGACCAATTCCCTAGAAGGGCTCTATTTCATGTGGCATAAGGGATGCATCTTATACTGTGTTAAAGAAATACATATAATTTAAATGATTTGATGTGGTTTACAAGGGGAAGAATGGCATGAGTGGTTTGGGCTGATTGAGAATAACTCAAGGTTGTCTCTAAATAGCCATGTATATATTACTTGGTTAATACCTGCTGGCAAATGTTGAATCTTCCCAGTGACCTCTGCAAGCCACAATTATACACGGCACTGTGAAATGAATTTCTTAGCAGAGCTGTTATGCAGAAGGTTTTAATACAGATTTATTTCATGGGTTAACAGACATTTCCTACGTTTCTATAAAGTACTGGTTCTTTCAAACAGAAAAAGAAAAACTGTTTAAATCAACGATATGATAGTAACTGAAGCTAGTGACAAATATATCTGTGTTTTGCACTCAGTCTGAGTCCCTAGGCTTAAGTTTGGATGCTTGCTACGTACAGAGGTCAACAAAACTTGGTTTGAGTTCAGTTTTATTTTTAAATTATTTTCCTTGTGAAATATCCATATCTGTATGCATGCTCTACCCGGGTGTTTTTTAATTTCAGGTTTAACGGTGGCTACAATACTGTTTGGCATAATAAGAAGTCTTCTGGTGTTTCAAGTTCTTGTTAATTCTGGTCAGACTTTGCACAACAAAATGTTTCAGTCCATTTTGAAAGCTCCTGTCTTGTTTTTTGACAGAAATCCTATAGGTAAGTTTAATAGTAAAAAAACCCTTAGCATTTAATGTACCTCATTGATTATATTAACTGTACTGTTTCTGGGCAACTGCGATTTTATGCTATTTTTTCACGTATGTGGCTTTTTTTTTTTTTTCCTTAAAATCTTTAAATTTAATGGTGTGGACTTTTTAAATTTAAAAAGTCAGAATGTTGACTGCTCATTGATGGTTGATCTTGCTCTCTTCAAATGCATCCTACAGAAAAATCAATTACCCGTGGCTTTGGGGACGTACATTAATGTGCTTGTTGCATTGCTGTTCTGATTTCTGACACAGGGGTGTCTTCCATATGCTGAATGTATACACATGGATTTTGTGGGGATGCCTTGTGCTTTTCTTTGAAAGCTTAACCCCAACAATTACTTGCCCTTCTAAAACTAATTTTAAGCATGTGTGGTAATTCATAGTTTTGAGAAACTGTGTGGCACAGTTTTGAGAAACCGTGAGAAAACTCCAGAATGCACAAAAGCGTAAAGCATGCGATTTAAAACTATAATCCAGATCCTTATGTTCCTCAAAAGAAACGAGAGAGAAGCTGGAGCAGAATGAAGGGAGTAGGGAAGTGGGGTGGCACTGATTGACTATCCAGTCTTACATGAGAAACGGAAATCTGATGGTCTTCTCTGCCTTGCAGAAAAGGATCACAGGCTCGTTCTCATAGTTGCAGAAGCCGTTAGTAACTGTAAGGGCATACAGGGAGGACTGTTGTGTCAGAGAAATTAGCAATATTTACAGGAAATAAATACTTACGTGGAGAAAAGGTTCGTATCCATAATGTGATGAATGAAACATGTACAACTTCCCCTTTTAAAAAGAAAGAATCTACAACTGCCGAGGTTTTAAGGCTGTGCTGTATGATTTGCTTCTACTGTGAGTCTGTCGTAGTGCAAATTCAAGGCTACTGTGAAGGATGAGAAGTGAAACCCTAATCGTGGGAGACAGGTTAGTGGAGAGCTAGTGAGAGCGCATACGTCAGAAGAAATCGCAGTACCGATGGGATTTGTTGTCAGATAGACAGGGATTTTCCTCTGTCTTGAGGTTTGTTTGGTTTATTTTTGGTGTGTGTGGCACAGCATATGCAGTAACTGCATTTTTTAGGGAATACTTAATCGTCTTGTAAGACTGCCCATAAACCTGGTTCATCAGAACTGAGAACTACAGAGTAAACATCGGGGACAGTGCAGAGTAATCAATAAGAGTTCACTTTGTAACATACTGTGAAGCTCAAATTAGCAGTGCTTTGTGAAAGTGACATTCATAAAACCTGCCTGTCGGTGGTATTCACACACTGTCGTGACTTACAGATGTGCGTTTTCATTTATCAGCTGATATTTTATAATAGAAGATTAACTTCAGTGTGCATATATTTCTTTGCCTTCATCTTGCTTTTGGTCCTGGTAGCATGCAAAGGTACTGCTGCTCTGGTATATACGTCTGTTGAAAAAGGAAAAAAGGAAAGGGAAAAGATGACATGTGAGATGATGCTCTTTTTCAGAAACGCAGCGTGTAGCAGTTCTGAAATTCTGTTTAACTTCTGTGTTTTGTTGTCTGATTTACTGTGTATTTATCTTTCAGAACTTCAGATGCTATTTTTTGCATTGGGGTGAGATTTAAGTAGAAGTCTCTTTGTTTTTCCTTTTTTGCCTTTTTTATAATATGCCCTACTAGGAAAGACATACGTTAAAAAATAAAAGTGAAATTATTAAAGGCTGCTTTTTCTAGGGTTGTGATACTAATAGCCGAACCGAACTATTAGCTATCGTATTCCATATTAGCAAAGCTGATATTGCAGTGTCAGATCTGTCATTTAAGCATCCACCGTTTTCTCAGTATTGGGGCGAGGTCTCTAAGACCTTAGCAGAAACAATTGGTGAACTGACTTTTGCTATTTCATTTATCCAGAAATAATCAGCAATTAAAAACTTTCCACAGCCAGTATTTTGAACACACAGCGAACCATGTTCCAGAGTCAAGGAAGGAAACTTAAATATACAGACATCCCAAGCTCTCGATAGTTCTTACTGGGGAAACAGACTAATGAGCAGCATCAGGGAGTCAACATTAGGAAATGGAAATATGTGGTGAATCATGACATGTCTGTCAGCTCCCAACAGTGTAGATCCAATCAGTCGCGGTGAATAAATGAGATTACTTATTTCTAAAAAAATTATGCTTTGTGAATCAGTTTAGGCATGAGCCCAAGATTTCTCTTTACAGATTGCATTAGCAATGTTGAGGGAGGGGAAGGTTGTAAAGGGAATAGTTAGGAGCATCTTACCCAGATGATACAAGAATTTGAATGTATTTTTGGAACCTGGATTACATAGCACAGACAGAAGAGGAATATGAGGACCCCTCTCCTTTCTCCCTTCCCACCCAAAAATGTTTGTATGTACACAGATTTCAACTTTCTTTAATTTGGCATAGATCTAAAAATAGTTAGACTTTACTGCTGTAAGTATGTTTTGTATTGGGAGAACCTTATTAATAAACAGCTGTCGGTTTCTTCCTTAAGCAGTTCAGCTAACCCTGTTGAGCTGATAATCTGAAGTGAATAAAGCTTATTGTGTTATCCAGCATTCAGAATGATCAGATATTTATGCCTGAAATTCAAATTTGTCAGCAGATATCTATACAGCGTCACTTAAACAGCTATAGTGAAAGCTTGATGGGAAGTTAAAGATTAAGTGGTTGTATTCTGGGCGTTATCACATGTGACTTGTCTGCGTTTGTTGACAGAACTTGTTTATGTTTTGGAGTGTAAAATTTGACTATCTTAAAACTTCCTTTGCTCTTCTGTCCATATCCCATGCATGTCAAGGTATCTGTAAGGAGGAAAACACGGACGTTTTCTACTTCATAGTGAATGCTTATATATATTCCTCTTCATGTGTCACTTGCAGGAATAAAGGGGTTGACTTCTGTGCACGTCTAGCACAAGAGGGCAGCATGATCTGATTTATCCCAGCCTAGCATTACAACAGCTCGTTAGAAGGATAACAGAAATTTATCTGTTGTGTTTTTAGAGATGGTATTTGAGGAGTGAATTTTCAACCTCTTCACTGAGCAATAGTAGTGTGGTTCTGTTCAGCTGTCCTCATTATCTGCAAGTATAATATTTTCTCTTAATCTTCTAGACAGTAAGCTTTTCAGCTTCACGTAATGCTGAGTTAAGGAACTTAGCTGGCTTTATAATTAATGGCCAAAAGTCAGGTAACCCTATAGACTCTCTTGCTTTGGTCCTGTCAGGGAGACCTTCTTCAGCCCTTATTCCTTTTAATTTTTTTCTCAAGATGTTTGTGACGTTTCAAAACAAATTTGGCAGAAAGCTACGTAAAAGGGACCAGGACTTCAGCAGCAGTGACTTGAATTGGGACTTCCATCTTTTAAAATTATTTTCTTACGGATGGTTTAGGAGATCCTAGTTTTGACAAGTCTCAGGATTTGATTCAAGATTACTTGCTTAGCTTGTAAATGAATCGTTCTTTTCTGGGATTTGGGGACAGAGGTTTCTTTAGAGAAGGGATGCTAATGTGTAACTGCATCACTTTCAGTAATGGCAGTTTTAGTGGAGATTGTGTGTAATTTTGAATTGCATTGAGTTTAGGAAACTGAAACCTGCTGCTGCTGTGCTGATGGGTGCGGTGAGAATGAATGAGTGATATGCATTAATTTGTTCAGATAAAATACGAATCTCTTCCTCCTCCAGAGATCTGTCTAAAATTCAAATTGAACCAGGATCACTGCAGAAATGCATATGAAAATCTAGCACCCTTTTTTTAAAATTGTATCTCTCCAAACTCTTGGTTCTGACAGTTCATAGAGGGAGGAGAAATGCTCTGGCAGGCATTACGGCATTTCTGGCCTTCCTGGAAACAGAAAGCACTGAATTGTGTGATGGTTGTCTTCTACCTGTTAAATTAGCAGAAATTTTTTTCCCCACAGATGCTTTGTGAAAGCATTAAATAAACATTGATCCTTCTGGGTGCTTAACTAGACTCTGAGATTTGATCAGGATATAAAGAGAAATACTCTCTTTTTTTGGCAGCTAGAAATGGCACCCCAAACTGATAGCTAATAGCAGCACATAAAAGCAAACTCCAAATATTAAAAGATAAAAATGTGAAAGAAAGCTGTTGTTGTAATGAAGAGTTTGTTTTTCTTTAAGGCATAAGGATTTTAATTATGGTGTTCATAAATCAAGTGTTGAAACACCTATAATTTGACAGAGAAAGTTTCGTTGTTGGATTAAAAGCATGTTCATCAATACACAAGGGCCTGTCTGAATTTTATCTGACAGAAGTGTCAAGTGGGCAGTGTGGTTAAGTGCTTAAACCGTATAATATTTGCAACAAATATGATATTTCAGCAGTCTGAAAATTACAATGCTGATAATGAGGTAGTTAAATTATACTCTATCAGTTGGATAGTGAAACTGCTCTAGTTAGTGTACATTAATGCATGCTTGTTCACACAAGTGATTCTGCTGAACAAGTAGCATGTTTAAACAAGAAATACTGGTCTTAAACCCTGTGATTTACAGTAGGTGGTGTTTTGGCATATCATACAGTTAACAAGGCGAAGCTTCATGTTAAAATATTTCGTTTGTAGTCTCATTCATCACTGGGATAAATATTCAGTAGCGATACCAGAAAATGTATTGTCTTCCTATTTGACTCAATGACTCAATTGCCTTCCTTTTTTTTAAAAAAAAAAAAAAAACAACAACCAAAAAACAAGATCTATGCTATCTTTCTGATGCAGTTTTCAGATATTTCCTTGTGGTCAAGATGAATTCTGCGGGATTGTGAAAAAACTATACCAGCTCTTTTGACAGCTTTCATGCTCTCTTAAGCTAATACAAAAAGATTACGTTGTCCTTAAAACAGCGGAGGCTTTGTTTTTAGCTCTAAAGCACATTCACGTGTGTGCGCAGGTTTGTTAGTTTATGTTGAAAAGAAGTCCCTATAG